GCAGAGGAAGCCGCATGGTGCCAGATTGGGGCAGATTTAGCCCATGCCCCCTCTCCCCCCGACAGGAAATTAATTCCCGCAGCAAACATGAACGGGGTAGTCATGGTGACTGCCCCGTTGCCTGTCTCTAGCACACTCAGGATCACAAAGCATATCAGAGAGTTCAGTTCAGCCTCACAATTCCCCTGGCAGCAGGGGGTTAGCACATTGTACAGAGGGGGAAACTGAGGCACAACAAACAGCAGGAAATGGCTCCCCTAAGGTCACACCATGAATGAATTGAGAATTGGACCAGGAGTCCTGACTCCACCATTAGCCCCACTCTGTCTGAACACTGGGAGGAGAACCCAGGAGTCCTGCTTCCCAGCCTCCCTCCTCTCCCCACCAGGCTCCTCTCTGCTGCCGGAGCAGAGACAAAAACCCAGGAATGCTGACTACTAGCCCCCTACTCTCCTCCGAGAGCTACTGATAGAACCCAGGAGTCCTGATTCGCGGCCCTGTCTGATCTAACCACTAGACCCCACTCCCTTTCCAGAGCTGGGGATAGAACCTAGGAGCCTTGAGTCTTGACCCACCTGCTCTAACCACTAAACCACACTCCCCTCCCAGAGCCAGGGCTGGAACCCAGGCGTCCTGAAGCCCAGGGTTGTGCCTTAATGACAAGGCCCAGACAAATGCCTTGAACCTGCACAGATATAACTTCCCTGGGGCTTAAGCCTTTTAGCTGCTCCTTTGTGCTAGTCCTGGTGCCAAGGTGTCGCTCGACATGGCCCAGACAGGCTGGCATTTGCAGCGTTGGGGTGAGGGTGGCATGGAAACCTGGCAGCAAGAGCAGAAAGCAGGCTGGCCTCAGGTTTCATCCCAATCAGCTGGTGATGCACCAATTCGAGCTAGTCCTTGACCCTCAGCCAGTGGGGTAGCACAGGGATGGGTAGATGCCATCCTGGTTGGCAGATATGCACCACATGCCACCAAAGCAGGACCCGCCGCGGCCTCTTCCAATGGCCCTTCTTGAAGGCCTTGGGTCTCAATTTTTTCCACACTGGAATGCTCTTTTCCTGACCACCACCCCGCCGCCACCCCACCCCACCCCCCGTCTATTCAGCAGCGGGTTATGGCTCCCCGAAGCCTGCTGAGAGGTGGCAGCCGCTGCCCCCTGGCAAGCAGCTCTGCCTTAGCGCTCCAGTGCCAGGCTGTCTGCAGACTCAGGCAGGCATGGCTTGGCATTTTCGGGGTTAGCTCACAACCGTTGAGGGTAGGGACACAAGGGAGGGGGCTCGCCACCCTGTTTGGGTGGCCGTGGTGGGTCGTGACCCCCAGGCTGAGAGGGGCGGGCGGGAGACGGCGACAGACAGCACGGCATCCCCCCGGGATTGCCCCAGCTGCAGCCGAATCCCCTGGCTCAGGACGCGGGGGCCAAAGCACTCAGCAGATCCTTCCTTGTGAGACGCCATCACATGAGACAGGAAGCTGGCAGGAAACCGCGCTGTTGCCTGGGGAACCATTCATCCTTTACTCAGGCCAAGCTCTGGTTTTCTTAATGAATGAGAAAATGCTGAGGGAGGAGGAGCCTTGGGGGGGCGGGAGGGGTTAGTGCACAGAGTATGGCTGGATCTCACTGCCCAGCTGGAACCGGCTACATTCTCCATCCAGATGGGACAACCCCTCAGCCCCTGCACAGCTCTGGGCGCTTCTGGATCTGCCTAAAGTTGGAGACACCCCATTAGGCCCCATCGAAAGTATCTATTCTTATCTGTAGGACAGTCGCATCTTGAGACACCAACCAAGGTGAGGAGCCCCATTGTGCCAGCCACGGCACAGATCCTGACCCAGATGCCAGGCGCTGCACAGACCCCGACCGAGATCAGGGCCCCGTTGTGCCGGGCGCTGCACAGACCCCGACCGAGATCAGGGCCCCGATGTGCCAGGCGCTGCACAGACCCCGACCGAGAGCAGGGCCCCGATGTGCCAGGCGCTGCACAGACCACAACAGAGATCAGGGCCCCGATGTGCCAGGCGCTGCACAGACCCCGACCGAGATCAGGGCCCCATTGTGCCGGGCGCTGCACAGACCCTGAACAAGATCAGGGCCCCGTGGTGCCGGGCGCTGCACAGACCCCGACCGAGATCAGTGCCTATTTTCTGGGCACTGCTGAGACTCAGAGTAAGAGCCAGCCCCTGGCCAGAAGAGCTCCCACTCGAGGCAGACACAGAGTGGGAGAAAGGCAGAATGATTATTTTCCCCATTTTACAGATGGGAGAAACTGAGGCCCGGAGGGTTCAAGGGTGGGAGAGCCGAGCTGCCAAACCTCAAAGGGAGCTGAGGTCATCTAGCTCAGTCAGACTCCTTCACAGACCCCAGTGTCGAGGTGCTGCCCCGGGGAGCTGGCAGGCGGAGCAGCCCCAGAACCACACCTAACCCGGGAGGAAGTGCAAGAGGAAGAGCGGGGCTGGCCTTTCACGGCATGAGCGCTCCGAAGAGGAAGTAGGGGAGGTAGGGGGACAGATGGCAGATAAAGGAAGAGGCTTCAAATGCACAAGCTAGGCAGAAAGTGTTGCTTTGGGGTTTTTTTCTTGCTGACTTGCAGATCAAGGGCTGGGGCTCTAAATAGCACGGTGCCACCTCACTCCTCCACCCCACTTGTCCTCCGGCCTCCCCAGGTGCCTGCGTGGGACAGGACTGGGCCCCTGCCACTCTGAATCCTGCTCCTTGCAAAGGAATAATCACATCCCCTTAGCATCCATGGATCCCAAAGCACTTTTCAAGGCAGGGTAGGCTCAAACAGGGCTGTTTTACAGATGGGGAAACTGAGGCACGGAGAGGCAAAGTGACCTGCTTCAGCCACCCAGTGGCAAAGCCAGGAATAGAAGCCAGGGTCTCCGCAATCCCAGCCCAGTGCTCAAACCACCCTGCCTACCCCGATGAGCAATTGTTTCCCCAGCACCACTTTTATTTTCATGGGGAAGTCAATTGGGTGGGGGGGATGAAAGAGTTTGTAGATTGCAGTTATTATGGGAGGGGCCCGGGGTGCTAGGTGCTGCACACATGCACAAGGGCAAGAGAACCCTGGCCCCGAAGAGCTCCCAGAGTGAACTGACCAGAACCCCAGCCCAGCGCTCTACCCACTCGCCCAGCCTCTGCGGTTCAGCCAGCAGAATGTATTTCAGCCCCGCTCTGTTTAGGGCCTGGTGCAGGGCCCCCCCGAGATCAACAGGCAAACTCCCATTGTCTCCGGTGGGCCTTGGAGCCCTGGAGTGGAAGGGCCAGACGGGACCGCGGTGATCATCCTGGCTGGCACAGAACAGAGAACTGCCTTCTGTGGAGCTGGAACTAGAGCAGAGCTCTAAAAACTGCCCGTGATGGAGATCAACCCTTTCCAGACAGTCAATTACTGGGCCTCGGGCAGCGGGTCGTAATCGGGGCTGGCAGGACTCAGGAGCAGCTCCCCGTGCCGGAGGGCCCGATTGCCTGGTCACTGCTCCAGCCCCTTCTCGTTACCCCCTGGATTACTCCACAGGATGGCCATTTGGCTTGATGGCGCTCAGTCTTCCGGGCACCGGAGCTCGCCGCCATGGCCTGCTGCCCACGTTTGCAGAGGGACGCGGCCGCATGGATCCCAGGCAGCCGGATGCAGCATGTGTCTGAGCTCCCTTCCCTGTCCGGAATAGCCAGGCCAGCAAGAAGCAAGCAGCTGGGAAGCAGCCCCTCTAATTCAGGGCATGCAAGCTGAGGCCAGGCAGAAATCTGCCCCATGCGCTTAGGGGAGACGGGGGCTGCCCTCCACAGCAGCGTGTATTGTCAAGGGCCAGACAAGAAGTTACAGGAAACAGGATTCCGGGGACTGTGGCTGGCTGATCCGGGGGTCAGGGCAGACGGGGGGGCTGGGCTTGAAGCAATGGTGTGACCTGGCGAGGCAAGAGGCAGGAGGGGTCCGGCCTGGCAGAAAGCAGCATGGGATCAGGTGTGCTGGCTCAGGGCTCTGCCAGGCTCCGTGTGGCCAGCGGCCCCTCCAGCATGATGCCTTGAGATCTTTACCTGCCACAACCTCCCAGTCCCGGGGTAGGTCCATTGTGCTCAGTTTACAGACTCAATGCTGGGATTTCCGAACAGTTGGTGCCCCGCCCCTGCAAATCCAGCGGGGTTTTCTCAGACTCCAACCCCACCCTGGGAATCCGACCCCTGCACAAGGTACCATTGGTGTTAACCATGCTGCCTCAGCTTGGATGGGCTAGCTCCAAAGCCCAGCGCTGCTCAGCAAAGGCAAGGAACTTGTCTTGTGGTTACAGCAGTGGGGCTAGGCGCCAGGACTCCTGGGTTCTAGTCCCAGCTCTGGGAAGGGTGTGGGGTCTCATGATTAGAACAGGGAGGGCTTGGCGCCAGGACTCCTGGGTTCTATCCCTGGCTCTGGGAGGGGAGTGGGGTCTAGTGGTTAGATCGGGGGGGCTGGGAGTCAAGACTCCAACATTCTAGACGCAGTTCTTGGAGGGAGCATAGGGCCTGGTCCTTAGGAAGAGGGAATGGAATTCAGGACTCTGCCACTGATTTGCTATATGGCCTTGCATGATGACTTTCCCCTCTGTGTGCCTCAGTTTCCCAAGCTATATAATGACACTAACAAGATTAAGGCCAGCCATGGGTAAGGCACTGGACTGGGAGTCAGGACACCCAGGTTGTGTTCCCAGCTCTGTGACTCATCGCATGGCCTAAAGCAAGTCACTTTCCCCTCTCTGTGCCTCAGTTTCCCCCTCTGCTGAAGGGAGATTAAAAGTGCCACCATGGTGGGAAGGGGCTGATCCTTGCAGCTCCGTTGTGATCATCAGGCAGATGGGTGAAGGCCCCTTGTCTTAGCGCGATCAGGCTGAACCAAAGCCAAACCAAGGCCAAAGCGCCTCAAGATAAAGATCTCAGGAAGTTTAAAGAGGAAACAAAAATCTCCCCCGTATCTGACCCACTCTGCCTGCCAGCCGGCTGTTATTTGTGTCTGCAGGGAGCAGTTCAAGCCCCGAAATAAGTCAGCTCTGTCAGCTGACGAGGGCGGGCCCCAGCGACGGTTCCTCAAGGAAGTTTCACTAAGGTTATCTCGTCAGTGTGCTGCCGATTGGGGTTTTTGCCCTCCTCCATGCCAAAGCCTGCTCCGGGGGAGCCTGTATGAGCAGGGGGAGCCAGCGGGCGACAGCCAGGGACGCGGTGAGTGTCTTCTGCGCTGGCGAGGGGGCGCATTGGGCATCCCGTCCCGTCGGGAACCAAGTGCGTCGGGAACGAACGAGGGCTGTTTGCAGGGAATGGGGGGTGTCGTTTTCAGTTCAGTTTCTGCCGTAACGAGTTGCGACAGGCAGCGGCTCTGAGTCACCGAGGATGGAATGGGGGGCGGTTGGAGATCAGGCTGGGACACGGGGCTGGATCCTGGCACAGGTTAGCGCTGCAACAGGGCCAGGAGTCTCACTCGCTTCCTTCCTCGCCCAGATACTCCTGCCCTGAGTCCTCTCCAAATGCACTTTGGAGCACCGGAGATGGAGGGAAGGATGGGGAGGGGGGAGGATGCTGGCTGCGGGAGGTCTGTGCCCTACTAAGGGTGGTACAGGGAGGGGGCAAGAAGTCAGGACTCCTGGGTGGGAAGCCCCCAGCTGGGAAGGGTTTAACCAGGCTGCATTGCCCACAGGGGAAGCTGGGTTTGATACCCGAAGCGGGGGCAGGGGGAGGCCGGGAGACTTCTGAGCAGACACGTGCGTCTCGCTCCTCTGCCTTTCTCTCAGCGAAGCAGGCCTGTGCCGGGGGGCGCGCGGAGGGAGCCAAAGGCTCTCCCTGCTGCCCTAGAGCTGAAGTACTGGGAGAATGGAGGCTGCCCGCCCTGGACACCCCAGATCCTCTGAGTGCGAAGGACACTACATCCCCAGGCGATGGATATGTGTCCCTGGTGGACAGCTGTGAATGGGTCAATGTGCCTAAGGCAGGAGCAGCTGAGGCAGGAGGGAAGGGAGATCTCAGCAAACCCACTGACCCAGGATAAATGCACCACAGCACCCCCCTCCCCTGCATCACAAGGTGCATTGGAGACACACACACACCCCCAAGCAGGGGCACAGGGAGCCGTGAAAGGCTAGCGGGGCTGGGGAGGCTCAGGCATTTGCTGGTCCATAGGGGGCAGTAAACCCCAAGCATAGCGGGGCTTCAGGCTTGCCGAGACGCCGCATCGCTTGGCTGAGGCAGAGCCCAGTAATGGCGCAGGTAGCTGGGTCGGTGGTGGCATTAAAGCCACCTGGCACCCCAGACCGGCGGCCGAGGCACGAGCCGTCGGTGGTGGGGTGCGGGGGGGCAGTTGCTGGCAGAGTAGAGAGAGGAGCCTGGGTGCATTGCTCTCCCCGTGGGTGGGGGAGGAGGGGTTAAGAGGACATGGCCCTAGCTAAGATGCTGGTAGCCCACCGGTCAGTGGAGTTACAGCCCCCAGCTTTGAGATCCCTGCTTCAATTCCCAGCATGGCAGCCAAAATGGCAGCTGTCCTGTTCCCCATCCCAGGGAGGCGGTGTGGCCTAGTGCTTAGCGCACTGGCCTGGGACCTGTGTTCTATTCCTGGGCCTGCTGGGTGGGGGAGGGTGCCTCCATGCCTCAGTTTCCCCATCTGTGAAATAGGGGTGACGATTCTGACCTCCCTGGGGAAGTACTTTGATGGCAAAAGCTTGGTCTGATTATTACTGAGCTTTTGCACTCTGCCTCTGCGGGGTATCCCCGTGGGAAAGCCCGGTAGCTTTCTGATGTCCGATCGCTGTGCTGGATGCTTGTCAGGGATATTAATAGGCAGGCAACTAAATGAAAACATCCTGAGAAGTTTCAGAGTAACAGCCGTGTTAGTCTGTATTCGCAAAAAGAAAAGGAGTACTTGTGGCACCTTAGAGACTAACCAATTTATCTGAGCATAAGCTTTCGTAAGCTACAGCTCACTTCATCGGATGCATACTGTGGAAAGTGTAGAAGATCTTTTTATACACACAAAGCATGAAAAAATACCTCCCCCCACCCCACTCTCCTGCTGGTAATAGCTTATCTAAAGTGATCACTCTCCTTACAATGTGTATGATAATCAAGTTGGGCCATTTCCAGCACAAATCCAGGGGGAGAGAAAACCTGCTCTGGGTTTGCTGGCGGTGGGGTCGGCATGCCAGTGACATTTCCCAGCTGTTCCCTTGCCTGAACTCTCCTTCCGCTGAGCATTTGCCTCCAGGCCGCTGAGGCTGCAGGTCACCGCCCCGTGCCCACGTTCAGGCCTGCGTGGCAGCAAGTCAGGCTGGCGGAGGCCCAGGAACACCCCATCTGTATACTTAAGGAGAGTCACTTCCTTGCAGACCCATCTGGCTTCGGTGGGAGCCCAGTGAGGAACACAGTGCTGTTCGCACAGAGACAGGGACCACCATTCCCAGCCCTACCCCGCAATGGCACATGCAGGGGATAGTCTTGGCCCCCAGCTATCAGACCCCAGTGGGGGTGACTAACCGTACCACGGGCTGGCACCTCCAGCCCCGCTGGCTGAGATCCTGCCTGGCTCCGCCCCGGGAGGAAGTCTTGGACCCTACAGAAGTTTGGGAGAGGGGCAGCGGGAGGCTGCGAATCTCATTCCAGTTCCAGCACTGACTCACCATGGGGCGGGGAGCAAGTCACTTCACCTGGATGGCTCAGACTTCCTGGGTGTAATGCAGAGATAATTGGGCTTTCTCCCCAGGGTTGGCAGCAGGCTGAGTTTGTGTTTGCAAAGTGCTCAGGAGGATTGTTGTGGCTTCCAGGTCTGCACTGGCACTTAGGAGCTTTGCAAAGGCCCTGTGGGTCAGGATTATCACCACTGTACAAATGGGGAAACTGAGGCCCAGAGGCACAGTGATGTGCCAAAGGTCCTAGGGCAAGCCGGAGTCCTGATGTCAAATCGCCCCTGCTCTAACTACTAGAAACACTCTCCTCCAGAACCCAGGAGTCCTGGCACCCACTCCCCTTTCTCTAACCACTAGGCAAGATTAGCACCCCAGTCCATAGGGATTCCAACTCAAATCCAATACTGCATGGTGTCTAAGGAGGGCACATTATCCCATTAGTGGGGCCTGTCAAGTCAGTCAGGACCCATGCGCTGCTGCCCAGCTGATTAATTGGGCTTTATGCTAATCTCTCCACCCGATTGACTCATCTCATTAACTGCCCTCCAGGGGCTCAGTAACATCATGGTCTTAGGACAGAGATGGGACAGAAAGAGGGCAAAGCCCAGACGAAATAATCAGCCCAGCTCCTGTAATGGGCGGAGAGGGGATGTCAAGCAGCAAAGACTGGCCTCAGCGAGCCACGAGGATGCTGGCCAAGCCAGGCAGCTGGCTCAAGAACTGCTTTTGTAAATCCTTGCTGGCTTGGTTCTGCAACCCCGGGGGCTCGGGGTTGCTTCCCGTTTTAGCTGAGTGGGCGGAGTCTGCAGGGCTGGCGGCTGGCTCGGCGTGATGGTTCCGATTCTGGCTTGGGGGCCTCGCTCCCTGAGGTTACATTCCCCGGCAGCCTTGGAAACCCAGCGAGGGTGAAACTGATTAGCAACAGAGCGAGAAACTGGCTTGTCAAGGGTCACTGTGAAGCGCAGCCAGGCCACGTGGAGGGGGACGCTTTGACTGTAATGCCTCATGACGGTGGGCATGGCCAGTGGGTCCTGAAGCTGTGACCTGGCACTAAAGGGTGGAGGGACAGCTCAGAGACAGAGCCACCCGCAGTGGTGAGAGGGGGCGCCTCCAAAGGGGCATCTGGGTCAGCTCCAGGGCAGCGTACAGCTGGACCACAGCATCCACTAGCCACAGAACAGGTGCAGCCCAGGCAGCTTCCGGGCAAGCTTCCTCCCACAGAGCCCTGCACGGGTGCAGGTAGCCTGCGGGGAAGCAGGTAGAAAGGGCAGGGATCACACCGCAACTCAGTGGCAGATGTGGGAACGGAGAACCCAGGAATCCTGACTCCCAAGTCCCTTGCTGTAATCACTAGGCACCACTGCCACCATCCAGGTTAAAAGCCCCAAGCAGGGACAACCCGCTTACAGCCCCGCAGAGCCCGCCATCTGTCCCCCATTCCCTCCCACACCTCAGCTCAAGCCAGCTTGCAGGGCTAGCATTCCCCTTCACCGGAACAAATGACTTCTCCAGGCCCCCTGGTCTGGCCGCCCCAGCTTCCTCCCAAATGGCTGTATCCTTCCAGGAGCAGAAGGGGGTTCTGGAGGCTGGGGAAAGAGGATGCATCTGCTGAAGGCATCATTGGGCAGCCCAGGGAAGCAAGCTGCACTGCCGGGCAAGAGTTTAACCAGGGCAAGCAGAAAAGCAGTGGCCTGTGTACGGTCACACAGCCTCCGCGGCAGAGCCAGGAACAGAACTCAGATGTCCTGACTCCCCAGTAGACGCCATTCCCCTCCTCAAACCAGGGATGCAACCCAGGAGTCCTGATCCCTAAGGCCCCCTTCACTAACCAGGAGACCCCCAACTCCCTTCCCAGAGCCAGGAATAGAACCCAGGAATCCTGACTCCCAGCCCCCTCCCCCATTAGACCCCACTCCCATCCCAGAGCTGGGACTAGAACCCAGGCATCCTGCTCCATCCACTAGACCACACTCCCTCCACATAGCATGTCCTTCTCCAGGCTCTTTGGCGGAGAGCTGGGAGGCCCCATCCCTTGCCCGGGCCGGAGTGGGAGATGGGACGCAGGACTCCAGTAACAGAGGGAATCAGGCAGCAGCACGGCGCACGCAGCTAGTTGTCTCCAACGAGCATGTTCACTGGATCAGCTGCCGGCAGCTACACTGGTGAGCGACATGCAGCAAGTGTCTGTCCTTCCCCTGTGATTTGCCAGGACGGCTGACTGCACCGCTCCACCTCATCGGCTCAGCAGGGCTGCCAGTCTCCCCGAATGAGATGCAGGCACTCAGCCAGCAGAATGCTGTTATCCAGGCCCCAGGGCAGAGGGTTGACTCAGCATGCAGAGGATCCTGCTGCTGCCAAAGCACAGCCAAGCAGCTGTGGAGATCTCTGCACCGGCAGCGTAATGGCTGCACATCCATTTCATCACATCTCGTCCCCAGGGTGACCCTAGGCAGTGCTGCCTTCCTGAGTCTGCAGGGGCGGCAGCCTGAATTGATAGCACAGAGCGAGGGCACGGGCGATGCCCTTTAGCTTGGCAGGCTGTTAACTCTGAAC